TCAGCAGGTCACATTTATCTTCATGTGTCACAACCACAGACCTCAGCTGGTCACTTTCTGGCTTGTGCATTATCATCAACAGTATTGCAGTTTTGCAATGGGATCTTAATTTCTCAATTCTGTTGGCATGAGAGCCAAAATCTATGCTGTTTATCAGTTACATTAACTTTGCAAGGCAAACAGAAATGAAGAAAAGTGTAAATAAACTAATAAGAGATAAGAGAATAGATGTGTCCTGTTTCTCATTCTTTTGCTGACTAAAATGACAGTTTTTGGAATGAATAGTGTGCCTGAAGCAGAAGATGCTGTGCTAGCTCAACAGTGTCGCCTAAAAGTTGCTACCAGCTGCTGCAATTAGACATGGAAACACATCCTTACACTGTAGGAAAATGTTGTGTCTACTGTTGGCATGCAGCGTCTCAAGACAAGATGTTTTCTTTAGCTACTTGTAGTAAAGCAGTTGCACTGGTCTATCTGGCAAAATGTTCTCCTGCTGGAAAAAGGAGGCAGGTACCCCTCCAGCGTGTGGCCTCTGCAGATGAATTTTAAGGACATGGCCTGTTGGTGCTTTTTAGAGCTTTTGTGGAAATCATGATACTTGAGGAAGGAGGGGAAACAGTATGTCGTATGCTGAGTTGTTTTTGCTGAGCGGTGCCCTCACACGATCAAAAATCATTTCAAAAGTTGGTGTGACTTCTTAGGAGAAAAACGCAGCATGGGATCTTTTCTGTTGAACCTTAGGCGGTAGGAGGTGGTTCTGCTTTTGGAAGTTAGGTTGCTGCTGTAATATGGGTGCTCAGGTGAGGGACCCACAGGCCCAGTGTTGAGGAGGTGTGGCTCCAACTGGGATGCTGTGAGGTGGGAGAGCGCTGGTGCTTCCCCAAATAGACTGAGTGTCCTTACAAACTTAGTGCAGGACTCTTCTGTGTGGAAACTGCTGCCTTACATCACTTGTTCAGTGGGGTGGTCCATCATTCGAAATGGACTTTGTCTTTTGTGCCTATGGTGACTCCGTCGAGGCTTGAGAAGTGTGGCTGTGGTGTGCTCACGTAAAAGAAGAATAGTGCAGTTCAGCAAGTGTTGGGATCCACCGATGTACATTGCTGTAGCCTGCTGGTTGGGTTTGCTGTTCTTTTTAGCTGGTTGGGTTTTGTTGGGCTTTTTTGGTTGGTTGGTTGTTTTTTTGCAAGGTGGTACTTAGGAATTCTTTCAACACATCTTTCAGTATAAACCTCCCCACATTTTCTTTGCCTTATAATAAATTCTAAGTGAAAGTTAAAATTTTAGACTTTGTTGCAGGTTTGTTTGAAACATCAATGTTTTTTATTAAGATCTGTTTGTTTCTTAAGAAACTGTAGTTTCTTCTGACTTCTAGGTTACCCCAAAGCCTGTTAGAGGATGTACAAACCACAACCTCTAAAATGCGTCTGTTTTCCTGTGTTTTGTACGTTTTCCCACCCATGTTTTCAGACTAGCAGGAAAACATGGACCTTTGTGAAGCGGTGCACTACGTGGGGGATTGAGACCTCGCACTGTAATCCTTTTCCATCCTGAGGACCTGCTGGGTGATACGGTACAGCTGATTTGGCTCTGCTCCTGGACTGCTTCACTATTCCAGGAAGTTTTACAGGAATGCTGATCTTATATAAAGCACATGGCTAATCATGAAGGAATCATTTTAGATTGAAATCTCACAGGAACATACTGTAATTATCATTTAGATCTAAATGGATCCAAGCAGTCTTTTCTCAAATTATAATGTTCTGTTTATGAATGCATTTCCTCCACTTGGCATTCAGCCCCAGTAATGCAGCAATATTGTGTAAAATGTGGATCGAATGACATCTCTTCTTTAAGAGAATGCCTGGCTCCCAAAATGTGGTAACTCTTAATGGAAAAGGAAAGGGATGATGAGAAAGCAGCGCTGACTAGATGCTAAAGCAATGTAACATGAGTTTGGAGATACAGGGTTTTCTTCTTTGTGTTTTTGGGTGATCCATAGCTGTATTTTAACCTCTTAATGTATTTTAGAGTTTCCCAAGACCGTAACTTGTGACTTTTCAAATGCTTGCAGATCATTGAGTAAAAGATTACATTTACAGAAGATACTGACAAAGCATCTTAAAAGTATGTCTGTTTAATTTTAGGACAAGGAAACCTGCATGGGTGTCAACAATCAAAGTTACATATGTGAAACGGGCCACTGTTGTGGACAATCCCAGTGTTGCAACTACTACTATGAACTCTGGTGTAAGTCCTTCCATTTTGTATGGCTTCCCTTCCTAATCTGCATGGCTCTCATACCATACTACATCTGGCTTGTGTCCTGTGGGGTTTTGTATTCAGCCCTTGCTATGCGTTGCCATTGCATTTCACTGCAACACAAACTGGAGTTGACTGGATATGGGAAGGGAAATAGGGTTGTTATAATGGGATTCTTGAGGAGTGATGGGTTGTCTTGCCACGTTCATGACTGGAGATCTGTTGTTTGGTCTTCTCACTGATTTGCGCATACTGAGGGTACTCAAAATAACATTGTACGCAAGTGAGGAAACCATGCTTGAGGGAGAAATGCCAATACGCACAACGATAGGGTTCAACATACTCAAACAGAGAATGAATTCAGTATCTTTTACCTTATTGGTTTAGTTCTTTGCAAGAACGACAGTTTAAATCTGATCTAACCTTTTAAAGCTCTCCTTTCCAGGAGGGGGGGCAGGATGTTTATTCTCTTCAAGGACGCGTTGTGTTTGGAGCACAGCTCCTTGGGTGGAGGGAATCTTGGGCAAATCTTGTGGGCTGATGGTGATTGAATACTGTGGGCTGTGAGGACCATATATTGCCCATTCCAACCCCTCTTACCTCCTCTTTCCCAAATCTGGGATTTAAAACTACCCATGTTTTTAGTGAGTGGTTGGGTGACAATACCTGCTAAGTCCCTTTAGACGGCAGCAGGCAGGTCAGAGCAGGTCATCAAAACTCTGATGTACAGGGAAAATGGGAAGTTGCAACGATAAGAAAGTAAGAAATGCTGTATTTTAAAGGCAAACTTTCAGAGTTGTGCCAGTCTGATGGTATCTTCCTTTCTTGAGGAGGAGCACCCAGGATTGAACATTGATGTTGACATGCTGTTGTACTGCCAGGAGCCTAGGCTGAGAAGACATCTGTGCTCCCAGAGTTTGGAAACGTGGAACTCTGAACATTATGCCCCCACATTAGAGACTGGAGATACTGTCTTACCACACCCAGTGATATCTTGTAGCTTTTACGCAATTGTGCTCTCTACTTAATCCTTCTGCTGTGCCCGCAGTTTCACTTTCTCAAAGTAGTGTGTGTGTGTGGAAATACACATACAAAGACTGTCACTTAACCTGGATCCAGGGACAGGAATAGCTGACACTTCATCCTTTAATCTAGAAACACACTTTTACTTTTCGAATTAACCAGTGAAGCATGGAGGACATGGTTATAAACTAAACAGGTGTCTAATAGACTTCTTAAGGACACACTATGCATCAGACTGTAGTGCCTGGCTGTGTCCGTACTAATGGCAGGATTTGCACGTATTGCAGACCTTTTACAGCAGCTTTATTTTCAGAAGTCTCTAAACAGTTCCAGAAACAATTCAGGACTGGGGGTGCAGCTCCAGGGATCCTAGTAGGCTGAGAAGCAGGCATGAATGCATGGCTGCCTTGGACTGGCTGGTTCAGGTCATAGCAGTAGGCAGCACAGGCAGGACAGATGGCTGGAATTTGTTCGGACTATATAGGGATGCATGGACAAAGCAGAGTGGGGAAGGTCAGACCTGGTTTTGGATTTGTGGGGGTGGGAATGTAGAGGAAGATGCCTGTATGCGAGGGCTTACAGACTCTGTGGCAAGCAGGTTCTAAATTGAGCGACAGCATGGAGTACAGCTGCACACTGGAGTTTGTTGCACGTTCACCATGTTTCTCCCATGGACATCTTGAAAGAGAGGTTTAACTGAATTGCATGGAAACAATACAGTCTGAACAATAGCTCCCTGCCGTTTTAATGGAATGGTTTTACTTTAACTATCTTTGCACTGTCAGCATGGCACAGACTTTTATACTTGGCAGTGCCTGACTGCATCATAAAAGTTCTTGGAAGATAAAACCAAATTTTGTGAGAAAGGTGCACAGTATTTCAGGCTTCTTTCTAGGGCAGGCGCATAGATTGCGCTGAGATGATGGAATAAACATATTAGAGGCACGCACTGCTGGGTGGTTCCTCAGGAGGAATGGGTTTCTGCATTGAGATTCACATTCTTTCTGTGTTGCAGAGAGCAGCCTATACCACACTGAGATGAGGGGAGTAGTGCAAACATGAGACCGGTTCTCTTCTAGGCTTTCTGCAGATTCAGGCAAACGTCCAACATGCATTTAAAATTGGTTAATGTTTTCAAAGCTTGCTTTGCCATGATGAGTGTTAGAAAAAAGTTTCTGGGGTGGCAGGGAGGAGGAGGCACGAAGGGAGCATGTCCTTTAAATGAAAACTCATATTCTAGAGCTTGCAACCACAGCTGCAGAACTTATCTGCTGCTCCAGGAACTGTGAGTATCTTTGGTTAGGTATGTGTTGTGAGGTGTTCTTAAGACCTTCAGTATCCCAGCAGTGATAGTACGTGCAAATAGTCTTAAACCGAACAGTGAATTGATGGTGTGGAAAGCAACAGCTTCACATGCTTGGGAATAGATTAGCTTTTTAAAAGTTAATAATAACTTTTGGTTAATGAACATTTAACTTAGCAGCGCCTTTTAAGTATGGTTTCATGGCTGTTCTGTTTTGATTTTAACCGGTGTGTGCATGTACTGAAGTAGCTTTTGAGAAATTTCTTCTCCTGTTGACCTCAGGCCACCAGTGCTTTTGTGTGCCTGAAAAGAGACCTTCTTGCTGGTCCTGTTGAATTAAATCCTGGATTTATTTACCACCGCAGCTTTGTGGGCAGAAGCAGCAGAGGAGGGTGGCATTTGAAATGGAAAAGAAAATTGGTCTGTCTTTGCTGGACATGCCCTCTGAAATGTGATCCTGTCTTGTGGCTACTTGGAGTTTTTCCTGTAAAAAGGATCTTTTTCCCTGTTTAAGAGTTTGAGGGAAATTTGTCTTTGAAAATGGCTGATCTCAACATTTCTAGACAGCAAGTAAAGTTGCAGTAATTATAAACCAGTACTTGAGGGTAGTGGAATAGGATGCAAAATCAAGGTATTATTTTGTTACGGGGTGGAGTGAAGGAATGGAGAACATGATATGCCAAGCAGGTGGACAGCCTGTGTTTAAAATTAGATAACAGCCTGGTTCAGATTCCCCACCCATCTCTTATTAAACAAAAAAATAGTGCCATGTTGCCAAATGATAAAACCATATCCATATATATATAGATATATAGGTCTAATAGCTATATAAAGGTCTAATTAGTTCAAGCTTGGTAGCTGGTAACATGGGTGAAAAAAGTGCAGCATATCTTATTGTTCTCTTGGAATAGAATCATAAAAATCATAAAAGAGAAGAAGGGTCTTTACTGTTGGATTTCCTTCCATAGAGAAAGGTGTTTGTTTTGGATGGTGGTTGAGCTGGTTCACTGTTTTAGCCTAACAATTTCTTTGGGCTCTCCAGAGAGCTTATGTCCTAAAGGGGGAGATTGTGGTCTTGAGAGAATGGCAGCAGCCACTGGATTTTGCTTACTAACAGACCTGAATAAAAACTGTTATGATGTGATTGTGATTTGCTGGAGTTTTCCAACGTTGGCCTTTATCCAGGCCTGAGAGATGTCTTATTGCTTAAATGTTCCAAAATACCACTTTCCAAAATACAGGAGAGGAGGTGATCAAGGAATGCAGTTCCTGCATTTTGCAGGTTAAGAATTAAGGCTCAGATGTTCTGGGCTTCCCCAAGTTTAAGTGGGAACTTAATGTGGGCTTGAAAACCAAATCCAGGTCTCCTGATACCCAGCCTTGTGTCTCTCCTTGCCTATTGAGGACCAGCATGAAATTAGATGATTCCAGAGGCTCTGAACACAGCAAGCAAAGCTGTAGGAAGTATTTTGCATGGTGTAGCTGGAAGAGTAGTACGCTGTGCTTCAGGAGTCACGGAGCATGGCAACAGGCATCTGGTCACTGTGTGCAGATCTCAGTTACAGGATTTCAAAGTTAGAGGGCTTAGCTGGTCTTGGGTCACTTAGGTTACTGTACAACCAACCAGCATTGGTGATGAGTGAGTATTCAGATGTTGGATGGGCCTGTTTTGATCCATTTTGGCTGCTTTAGCAGTGATACTGAGGCTCTCTGTTTCTGGGGGGAAAAAAAAAAAAAAGTCTTGACTGTTTGGGCCCTGGTGGAACGGTTGTACAGGAAAAAATGTTCTGTTTGCAGGCAGCACAGTTGATATTTTTGCTGATTTTGAACATTTTGCTCATCTCTGCACGCTTCCCGTTGGAATCTCTAGACAGCTCTTTTCCCCAAAAAGCACGCTGCCAGAAAATTTTGGCAAGGTTCCGGTTAGTTGCTAAAAACTAAAGCAACTGCAATAGCACATACATGTTTCAGGTCAGCTATATAATAGGAATTCATTTCCAAGACTTTGCTGCAGTCTCCAAAAGCCTCAGTCAAACAACACATCAGTTCTGTGTTTTCTTACTCACCCCATGTTAACTTATCCTTCAGTATAACCACATCCATTTTTAGAGAGGGATTTGCCCCGTTCCTTGCCTTTCACCCAGCCTCCTGCATGGTTGTACTTGCTTTCTCTTTCCAAAGTGTATCAAACTTTACCTTTGGCTGCTGTTACTCCTCAGCTGGTACTTCAGCGATAACCCTCCCATGTCAAAGCCAAGCTGAAAGTATAGGGCAAACAAAACAGATGTCACAACCATGCAGGAACTCATGATAAATAGGGCCACCAAGAGCGTTGTGTCCTGATTTCCTTGTACTTTTGTACCCTAATACAGGCAGAAAAAGCATCTTAAGCTTGTTTTAGTGTGGCTTGGTAAAATTCACAAATCCAAGGGAGAGGGCAAACTGTCTTGCATAGCCTGACTGTGCAGATACTGACGTTTGCCCTGTGTGGCCTTCTTCCATCTGCTCTGTGTTAAAACAGCAAGGAAGGGCAAGAGAGTTTGCTGGTGCTGTTTCACCACCTGCCTTCTGTACCTCCAACCCAGCTCCTCACCGAATATGCAGATCTGTTGGTGAGACTGTTCTCCAGATCTTGTTCCCAGATGTTCTGGGCATGGTCTCG